TCCCCCCCCCCCCCCCCACAAATGAAGTACCAGGATAGATTATTAAATGCAAAAATAGAAATTGCACTGGGAAAGCCCTGAGTAAAAGGCGCAACATACCGGACATGTCCACGCTTCTGAAACCCCTGAGTTGCTTGGCAAATTCATTAAGCTTCTGCTTGGACTCCCTGTCGACTTTGGCAGTGAAACCTGATAGTAAATTAGAGCCAGGGGCAAAGGACCATTTCATTCCTTTTTCAGGAGACTTATTTTCTGCTGCCGATAAACTAGACCTTGCTGGCTTCGGCGTAAGAAGTTTCTCCACCAATTTCCACAAAACTGTCAGCTGAAGACACAAATTAGTGAAACATTTTACTTCAAATTCTACACTGCTGCTATTCTATCTATAAACCAACTGAATCATGGGTTGGAGGCAATGAATCTTTAAAAAAAAAGAAAAAAGAAAAATTGCATACCGAAAGTGACAGCTACGAAGACTCCGGCGGGGACGATGAAGGAGGCAACCTGCTTGACGGGAGCATTAATCAAAGGAGGCTGAGACTGACTGTACACTCTGCGGCCACGTCCAGAAGCAGCAGCCGCCTTCACAACCACACTCCTAAACCTCAAACATCTTCTTCGAACCGTTAAAGGGTTCGCCTCGGATTGGAGTCTGTGCTTTAGCGGATGAGAATGAGAATGGGCCTCCCCAGCTGAAACCTGTTGACAATTATTATTAGTACTTCTATGCTCCGAGAGAAAAATACAAGAAATATGTCTTTTTACCTTCGGATGTGAGAGGGAGTACACAGAGAGAGCCGAAGTGAAGCCCATAGGTGAGGGATTTTTATTAGATGGTGGTGGTGGTGGTGATTATGCGCATGGGAAAGAGGAGCGAGGTCTTTACTGCTTATACATACGGTGGCCACGGCTTAGCCTTAAATGATGATAAAGCGGCGGGTCTCCGGGATGGATGTTCTAAAAGGCTACACGACTCAGGTCAAAACTATGGAGATTCGAGAGAGAGTGAGAGAGGTACTCTGAAACTAACACTATCTTCTCGAGTCTGTCAACTAAACCTGAGAAATTAAACCCGGCCAGTTGATGATCCAATCCAAGACTTCGGCCCAGTTGATCACCCAATCCAAGACTTGGATTAAGAATTAAAAGGGTTAATTTTGATTGACTTCTGTGTTTTACGACATCGTTTTATTTTCGTTAAAATAAAGTTGTTTTATCTCAGTTGTTCGTGCAGGGATAATCACCATACAAAAATAATTGAATAAAAAAATAAAATTTATAAGAAAAAAATTAAAAAAATAAAGCAAATACAAATTAATTATACTAAGCTATAATATGAGATTGAAATAAATTTATAAAAAAAAAATAAAAAAATTTACAAAGCTTAAGACCTAGTAGTAACATAATATTACATAATTAAAATAAAAAATTTAATTAAAAAATAAGTTAAAAATCATAATCAAATTAAATTAATCTTTAAAATTAATAACCCGAATCATTAGAATAAATTACCTTATAATAGATAAACTTAAAAAATTATGAAACAAAACTTTTAATTATAAAAAATAAACTTAAAAAATAAAATAAATAACAATAATAAAAATAAAGATAAAATCAAATATAAAAATAAAATAAAATTAAATAATAAAAGGTCAAATTAAAAGATAATATAAACAAAAAAAAGGAATAAAAAATAATTAAATTTGGTAAAATTAAAAGATAATATAAACAAAAAAAGGAATAAAAAATAATTAAATTTGATTTAAAAGTTAAATGAAATAAAAGGGATGAAATTAAAAATAAAAACTTTAAATGATATTAAAAATAAAATAAAAAATAATTAGTAAAATTAATACAAATACAAATTAATATAATATATTTAATTTTTTTAAAACAACAAGAATAGAGAAAACCGGAAAGAAAAGAAACAAAAATCCAAAAGAGCTCAATCAAAGCTGTTTTGTACACGCACGCCTAATCATTAGAAAGAAGATAATGTGATTGAAGGTAGCCTTTAACCACCCAGAGAAACTGTACGTGCTACCCAAAAAGCACAATCACTTTTCACGAGTGATTTTTTTAAAATTATTTTTATATATTTTTTTAAATTGATTATAATTGAAAAATCATTAGGAAAAAATATAAAAATATAAGCATAAAAAACCTAAAATCCCTTGACCCTAATTTTTATTTTTATTTTTACTTTTAAAGATATTTAAATCATTGCACTACACATAAAAAAAATAATAAAAAGATTGATGTGTCTATAATCAATATAATAATACAAATATAATTCATTAAAAAGATCATTTTACTTTTAATAACTAGTTTATTGTCTCTTATTATGAATGATAACAAAATCGCCACTTCACCACTGTAATCCACGAAAGATTGCGACACTTGTAATAACTAATATCCAGAAGACATATTTCCAAAGTTCTCTCAATCCATACATCAACCCTAATTTATCAATTCAGACCCACACCTATCAATAAATAATTTGACATTCACATTAATAAGGCCGAATTACACTTGACAAGGACACTTGAATCAACCGCTTGATAAATCTACAGCTTCTGCCGACCACCCGGATAAACACGAGTCCAGGCTCCAAGGTGCTTACCACTGTGGACCATCAATGAAATGCAGGCTCTGTGGCTCAAAGCCTCAAAGTAGATTTTAAACTTGAAACCCACTTCTAGGTTTTTTTTTTTTTTTTAACCTGGCTCCTCCTAATAAGATTTCCTGACTCGGCACCTGCATCAAAGTCGAAATACCTGGTATCATGAGTGGAAAACTTAGGAACAACAATGGAATGGGCAATAAAATCAAAGACGAGAGAGAACCGAGTCATAAATCTTGAAAAATATTTTATTAACAAAGAAAACGTAATGTACCCTTTGACATAGTTTGTTTACTTGTAAAATGTCAACGACCCTTTGGCTAGTAGTATTTTATTTGATTTTCCGAGAGAGTCAACCCTTAATTTTTGTTAATCTCAACTATAACTAGGCGTTGTAATCAACGTTTGGCCGGCAGCAAAGACAAGTACTATCGATATCCATCCATAGAAAATGGAGTACACGTTGTCGTACATCTCTCGTGTATAAACTACAAACACAAATTTGCAACCATAGGTTTCAACAGCATCGATTGAGAAGGAGAGGCAGGCCATTTGCTACCATCCTTGACCATAACGAGCACAGATCAGGGGTCGACGTCTAGGTAAGGCTCTCTCTCTCTCTCTATATATATATATATAATATATATATATAAACCTTGGGAAACCCGCTTGTAATAAATACTCCAACATTCTTTCTGACGACTAAAGGCAGATATTGCAGAATGAATTCATCAAGGATGGCTATGTCAATGTTGGCTGCTTGTGTTGCTGTTCTGGTCATGGCTTCTGCTGCTGCCGCTGATGAGGGCCATGTTCATACACCTGGCATGGAAATGCCCCCGGCCGCCGCGCCAAGCTCAGGCACCCTCGCGTCTCCATCAATGGTGATTGGAATCGCCCTTGCTTTCATTGCTTCCCTTGTTGTTGTTAGAGAGCGGGTGTGAGCCTTCATTTATATATATATCATCCTCCTCCTATGCATGTGCATGCCTTTGGTCATTAGACCTTGGCTACAGTTTCGGTGTTTGTCGTAACTCGTGATGTTAATTTATGTTGTCTGTTTATTTTTATTGATTGCAAGGTCGAATTTTATGTTGCCACAATCTTTGCTTTCAATTTTTTTTTTAAATATTTTAATAAGCAAATAGAATAGCATAACGTTTGATTACTATTCATCGAATACACAAAACAAAAATTATTAAGACAATATATATATATATATATTCCTTTTATTTAAAAGATTACAAATTCATTTAATAAATATCTAGAGGTAAATTTTTCTTTTATATTTTTATCTCTTTCCTCGAACTTGATAAAAAAACAACGTAAAATAAGCTTTATTGAGACCTAAAAAAATGAGAATCCACGTTAACATTTATGAAATAAAGATCAAATACAAATAACAAGAAAATTAAACCAATCAGTACCTCTGTCAAAGATTCAATTATTCAAAGCTAAGAAAAATAATACCATTTCGAGAAATTAATAGATAATATTGCCTTATTTCTCACGAAAAAAAAAAGTGATGTGATAATGGAGGTTTTTATTTTATTAAGATTGTAATGAGAGAAAAAGATGACTGAAACCCTATTTGGAAAATATATATATAAACAAAAATAAACAAAATAAATTTATTCAAGAAATCAAAATCTTTGTAGAACTTGAAAGGTATGAACGTGCAAATGCCGCATATATTGAAGCCCCGAGAGGAAACACATCCTCATCAATGGTAAATGAAGGGCTATGTGGTTGATATATGCTCCCAATCTTCTTATTTGTCGTGCCTAGATATAAAAAGGATCCAGGAATTAATTTGATAAAGATAGAAAGCAAAATCTTCACTTCCCGTGAAGCTTGGAGATAGCTTGTGGTTTCCTTCTCCTAGTATACCGATTGAAACTCGCCGAACATGTTCGGAATCCTTGCATCATTTACTGTTGGAGGAATTGAGGGATGTTCTGTTCCTGTGAAATCTACCTCACAAGTGCACCTATGTACAGCTGCTTGCCCTCTGTGATGGAGATAACTCGGCAGAATGAATCTCATTGATATTGATTGATGTGTGTCTGTATATATATATATATACACAGCAGGTTGACTTTCCCTAGATGGTTGTTTCTCCTATAATTAAGCCATCAACTATCAATACTAACTACAATCCAGGAATATAAAAGGAAACTAGTTATATACCGAATATCTCTTCTTTATATAGGTGCCGTTTATTTACGCGGTTGCGGTTGCGGCTGTAGCTGCAGCTTAATTAAATTAAAATGTAGTTGGTAGTTATTTGGTAAAAAAAAAATTAGTTTATTATACATAGATCCAACCACAGTTTTAATCAAACATCTATTTTTTCAAACCAATCTCAACTAAAAGTACTTTTTATAAAATAATTTTTTTCAAACCACAACCACAACATCTACCGCAACACCAAACATACTCATAAAAGATATGTATGCCTCGATTTTTATTATTTATTTACTTATAAAAGATATGCATGCCTCGATTTTTATTATTTATTTACTTAATTATAGGTAATTATAGGGCAATCTGAAAAGAAATGTGTTTTGACGTCGTGGATATTTTATGATTCTTTTGTTTTATTGATTTTTAATTTTGCTATTTTTATTAGAATTTATGTAAATTATTTTGAATTTATTATTGGATTTGTTAAGTTGCTAAATAATAAGGTCTTTAATTGAAAAAATTGAATAACTGTTATTGAATTCATTGTCTGGAGTGTTTGGAAACATCAGGGAGAGAACTTCTTGAACTAGAATCACAACCAGGAGTTCTATGAAATGGGTCAGATCTTCTTTTTCTCGCTTTAACATTAATTCTAGGGTTTAGTTACCATTTTAAGACGTAGAAAACGGTAAAAAAATTAAAACAAAGGAGGAGGCACATCTCTCTATATTTTTATTTTGGAAAGAAAAATTCATTCCACAATTGTTAAAAACAATATTTTTATATTTCTGTTTCTTCTATATTCTCCCCATCTATCCCAGCAATATGCTACACTCACAATCAACCTAGTATTCAAAAGGAGAAGGATCATTTGGTGGTTGCCACTGCCTTTGATTGCACTATTAGCAACAGATTTTGACGAAGGAAAAGCAGAAAGGGAGGGGGGGGGGGGGGGAACTATTGTTCCCACTTGTGCAGTACAAAGTCCAAGTCCATAAAGTGGCAGTGTTCTTACATTTTAAAAACAGCATTGCCACAGTTGATGAAATGATCTTATGAATAAATGATGCAATTTACAGGAATGCGTTCTTACAATCTGAGGGAAAGAACAGTAGAATGACCAAATGACTGAAAAATGGAATTTTACAATATCAATGAGATGTTTTCTTTCTTTGACAAGCTGCCAGAACATTACAGCAAAGCAAAACAACCATCTGCATTTCACTTTGAGACATGGTCGAGACATTGCTTAACCTCTTACTTTGCTTGCACTAGTGCCAGAACATGAGCAAATTAACGAGGGCAGCCGGTTAATTCATTAACACAAGCACATCAGATTCAGCTTCTCATGTCCGGCTAGGATTTAGGATTTCGCATTCGCAGTAGCAGTACAATTAGACTAATGTGAAAGGCAAGGACACAATATGCAACCAGAAAAAGCAAATGCTGATCTTACCATAACTAGCAAGGCTTTCTTTTGTCAACTTTTAAGTGGATGTTGAACCATTTCTTCTTCTTAGGTCTATCCCTTGTAGAAGGTTTCTTATCTCTTACTTGTGCATCTTCTTTGGTCTCCTTGATGGAACCCTTATTCCTCTGTTTACCTGAACTCCGCTTCATTGGCGGAGCAGTGGTGTAGGAGGCATGAATTTCATTCCTTTGTCGAAGGAGCTCATCAATCTGCAAAACCAATATCAATAGTGTAATGTCAGAAACCATCAATTTATTCACACCTCATCCTCAGAGATATCAGCAACAAATTTTGATAAACTCACTGCTTGCATCTCTTGTGCATATCTACTGGTCATCTCTGTAAATTGTGCCAATACCTGTCAAAAGACCACACAAAAATTAGTAAAAAAGAGAGCAAGCATATACAAATATACACTGCTGAAGTTAAGTGCAGACCTCTCTATATTCAGTCTCAAACTTGGATATTTCTGCCCTCTTCGCAAGTATATCAGCTTCAACAGCTCTAAGATTTGCCTTCTCTTCCATAAAAGGTGCAGCACAAAGAGCTTCTATTGAGTAACTTGCGCTTTTAAAAAAATTGTCACCTGGAAGAAAAGGCCAGAACCAGAAGAATGCTGTCAGCCCATTCAAACATGTTTAATCAAAGAAGCATGGTGCCATAAACAAGAAAATTGTAGAACTGACCATAGACAGCAAAAACATGGGTGCCAGCCTTCAGTTCAGTTATTTCATATGGCTGAAACCCATCCAGTTTTTTGAAGAAGGCAGCATCAGCATCTTTTGCGGCTGCAATCTGAAACCACAACAATTCCAAAACCAAAATGAAGAAGAATGAGCCAAATAAAAGACAAATATTAAGGCTGACACTTGACAACAATCTCTAAAATCACAGCTTACAGAGTTGACAGTGTGATCCAGCCGATAAACAGGAAAACAAAGAAAGTACATTCCAGCAGATGCAACCTTTCCTGTTTTAGCACTGTCCTCCTACACCAAAAAGTGAACCAGTAAAAATGGGGTAAAAGTAATGAAATTAAATGTGTTTACTGAATAATAGTAAATTAGATTCTATTGAGCTAGAAATTTGTCAAACATGCAAGGAACATGTGAAGGCAGATGAATTCCACAGATAACTTCCTTAGTAGTAGCTCCTGTTTTGACCAAGTAGTGTCCATATTAATTAGGGATCTAGTCATCTATACTTCACTTGAGAGAGGTCTAAATCTCTTATGTGGGAAAATATCCAGTCTGCTGGTCGTGATATAATAAATAAAATCATAATGTTCTTTAAGATCCATCCAGGACTAGAATCAAAGCAATAATATAGAAACTGTTGGTTATGATCTAACAAGATCAATATGAAAAGAAGAAAAAAAACAGGGGAAAGTGCATCATACCTGTAGAGCAAGGCTTAACCCACCACTTTCTTCCTGATCAAAATACAACAACTGTACAAATGATAACCAATCAGTCAGCCTAATGATCATTTTCCATGCATAAAGAAGTTATAGTTAGAGAAAACTGAATACTTGATATCACTTGAGAACTCAATACTTGAGATAAACTGTTACAAATGGAATAAAAAAATGTGGACATCTGAAGCTTGTTGGGAAGGTATGAGAAATTTATGGACTGGTTATAAATTCATTCAAGCATATAAGCCGGTGTTTCCCCCCTCAAGGTTTTTTTTAACATAATTCCCATAAGAAACAGTTTCAAGTTACATAAACTGTATAAACCCGTAAATCTGCTCCTACAACGCAAAACCATAGAAAGCCCAAGCAATTAAAGGCAACATTGAACAATTTGGAGTATAATCTGTATCCCTTGAAGGCCAGGACCTCTTTTTTTCTCCTTAAAATAAAAATTCGATTGTTTATTTAATATGCTATGCTTAGTGTGTCACTCGTTGGTTTTTCAAAGATCAAAAAAGAAAAAGAAAAAAAGACCAACACATACTATGAACTAATGAATTAATAAGTATAAATATAGAATTTATAACCAACTCATTGCTTCACATTATCTGGCTCTGGATCAAAGAAAGCAGTCGTATTTTCCATTTAGTTTCAACTACTTATTTTGTATTTTTGAGATTGAGACAACCCACCCCCCTCCCTCCATTTATCAAGAATTATCAAGGAGCAGATTTCCATGCCCCAAAATGAAACCAACAAATTCTAAATTCAGTGGTGTCAAAAGTGAAAGTCCCTGTGATTCTCTGTCACTAAAGAAAGGTGTAAAGAAAAACAAATGCAAAAACAACAGAACGTTTCAAACAGAGGTAAAGAAAATCAATTTTGATGATTAAGGAAAATGCAAAGCCATACAGGTAAAAGAAAAATATTTACAGGAAAAATTGTGAGAAAAATACACCGTACATATCCAACTTAAATAACAAAGGATTTGTGCCAAAGGTTTATGATAATTTGAACCTTGAACTTGCTTTTGTCAGATGATTGGACCCGACAGACAAATCCATCCCTTGCCTCCTCTTCTGTTATCGTGACAGAATAGAAGTGGGCACATTGCTTTTCAACCTGTTCAAAAATGTAGAATTTTACAATGAGCCCTAGTACAATCGCTAAAATTGACACATAAACCAGAAAAGAAATACCTCACCTTCCGACAAATAGGCAACCCAAGTGGAAGTGGATGAATATCAACAACACCATTAAGCGCCTCCTCCAAGACAGCTGCTGATACAGTGGTCTTAATTGGTACTCCAAGTTTACTATCATGCAAGAAACACTAAAATTAGAAATCAATACAAAACCATCACCATCATCATGATTCATGGGAATTATTCCGGAAATTAAAAAAATTTAATAATTAACGTCGCATGAATTCATTATAAACTTGCCTAAAGAGTGCCGCAAACATAGTATTTACAGCTCCCAAGCTTGAAAGATCTAGTTCAAGTTCTTGACTTTCCAATTCAACAGCCTGATCATAGAACAACAAGATCATGCTTCATATTACATCATCATATAAAAATGTATAAAACTAAATGATTATAATTCTAACAGAAATTGAAGTGGCTGGTATCCAGATAGCCCAGAAACTGCAGAATGACCGCATTAAGTCAGAAGAAAGAAGATAATCCATGTTAACATTTGAATTTGATTTGTGTTTTATCTGCCACCAAGACTTCTCACCTCAAAACCAGCTGAATCATATTGGCGCCGCTTGTCTGGATCAGACAATATATTATATGAAAATGTAACCTCTTTAAACATATTAGCTGCTTCAGGGTCATTTGAATTTTTGTCAGGATGGTACCTGAAATAGTATATGAAAGAGAATTTCCACACCTTGATCAGCAATGGAATAAAGGAGAAAAAAAGTAGATGGTATTTTAACCAAAGCCAACCCATGATGCTACCTAACTATTCCGAGTCTGCTAAATCAAACCTTGCTTTCCAAACAAGTGATAAATTCCACTACCCGCTTGCTCGCTGGTCTCTTTGGAATCACCATAAACCCAATAGTGTCGCAAAAAGTCCTTCAATTACCTCTATATTTTGCTTAAACAATAAATTTTCATCTTGTAAAACCTCAACCTCAACCCAAATCCCAGATCCTTTACTGATGGCTGTAATGCAAATATTAAACCATCTCACAGAGATTAAATTGGGAAACAAACTCAAAATCTTATGTAATTCTTCCCATTCTCACTCAAACAGAATCATGCTCTGTTTCACTCCACTCTTACAGCTGACACACTCTGAGGATGAAATCAGATTCAGTAACAAAAGCTCTCAAAATCACCAAAAATAAATAAAAATAAATGCATTTCCATCGCATCTAAAATAATAATAATAATAATAAACATACTTGAGAGCCATTTTACGGTAGGCGGACTTAATTTCCTGGTCAGTGGAGTTCCTGGAGATGGCAAGGACTTCATACGGGTCCCGCCGCACAGGCCCTGCTGCTGCATCCTGCTTCGATAGATGAGACGGCATTACACTATTCTATTTATATGCAACAATAACCAACAAACCCTAAAAAATCACTGCAGCAACCAAAGAAACAGCCAGATGCTTTTCTACATGCTCTCTCGACTTGTGTTGGGTAGAGAAAGTTGAGCGCGTATGGAAACCCTAGAGTGAGAAAGAATCCATGGAATGGGACCTCTCCTGAGTTGTAAGCTTGGCGAGAGATAGCAATAGAGACAAACGAGCATCAGTTAGTCCCCTGTTTGTCTAGCTTCTACTGTTTCAAAATAAAGCATCAAAAAATTATTTAGTTAGAATCTTAAAAATCAGTTGTTTGAGAGTGGAAAATGATTTTTATAAAAATAGTTTAAATATATATTAATTTTCAATTAAAAAAATATGGGAAGTGTCTTTTTTTAGAAGAAATGCTGCTTGTTTTATTTTAAAAATTAAAAAAAACCTTACATATTTTAAAATTAACTAAATTTAAATAATTTTTATTTTATTCATATTAATTAACTAATATTTAATTATATAGTTAATAAATTTAAATATTTTAAAATTAACTAACCCCAATTATTTTGTTTCAAGTATATTAGCTCTGTGAATCTTAATTAAAAATGTTCTGAGTATTGTTTCTTTTTTATTTATGTTTTTATTATATTTATGTGTTTTTCAAAGAAAAAATCATTTTTTTTATCTTTTTGTAAACATGTGATTCAAGTTATATATTTATGATAATTTTAATTTAATTAATATCACTAACAATATAGAACAATAATTCATTATCAAACAATTTAATAGTGTTAATGACACAACACAATATAGACTAAACAACTTAATATTTTATAAATACAAAGCAGTTAAATTGACATTGAAAATTAAGATGCAAAAAAAATATAAAAATAGATTTCTATTAAAATAAATACACTAAGTAATTACTTCGATAAATATATAGGGGCCAAATAAAATAGTTCACTCCCTTTCCTAGTATTTTTTTTTTTTAAATGGATATTTTTTTGTGAAACACATGAGTGAAATGATGGCGCCTGGCCGGACCAAATTCTGAGAAGCTTTTACTGTCCTGAAAAACCCTTCCAACCTGAAAATGTTTCAGTATACGGTTAATCTAGGAGCTATTCTTCACCATTTTCCAGAGTACAAATACATATCGTGATCGGAGGCTATTTCATCGCATGGTGAACTGAGTTGTAGATGCATGAGCTATCTTTGAAGTCACACGCCTATGTTGGGTTTTTTTCTCTCGTTGATTGAGAGTTCAAGAAGGCAAAGGGCTATTACCAATACTGAGGCCCAACTGAAGATCCATAGATTTACGACAGGCTTTCTTGGAAGCAAGCAAAGGAGAAGGCTTATCTCTGGATCTCTGATCAGCATGACTGAAAGTGAAGTTGTGACGAGTGTGCTGCTGGAAAGGAACCTGATCAGCTGGAACGGCATCCCACTTTGAAGTCTGAGAATCATTCAGATGGGAATCTTGGTGTGGATTGAAACTAATCTGAGACTCCTGATCATGGAGTGTGAACTCGGGAGTAGTAGAGCAGGAGGGATCGAAGAACCATGAAGTACAAGTTGAGCCGTATTGATAATTGTAGCTGGGGTTATCTTGGTAAGGTTGAAGGTAACCGCCGAGGCTCGCCTTCCTAGCTTGAAACTGCAATAATCTCTTCTTCATTCTTTCTTTCTTATGAGCATTTTGGTGCCCCCCCAAAGCCTGTGAATTTGCAAACTCCTTGAAGCAATACTGGCACCCGAACTTCTTATCACCAGGCCCACGACCAGCACTTGAGCTTTTCTCCTTGACAGGTTTTTCCCTGCCCCACGACAAGCACTTGAGCTTTTCTCCTCGACAGGTTTTTCCCTTTCAGATGACGCAGTATTTGACGAATTCACTCTCTCGTGATCTCCTCCGGTAGACCCTTTAATGCTACTCTCGTTATGCTTATATGGATTCAGCTCGAATCCAAATAATCTGAGCTTCCTCTCGACTGTACAGGACTCGGCAGAACAACCATTTTGATCTCCATCCAGTATGGAAGAAAGGGTGTTAGATGCTTCCTTTTCCATCTCCCTTGGATTGTAGAAGAGAGAAGAAAAGGAAACAAAGAGGAATGGATTCTGGGAACCGATGCACCGACCGGTATAGAGTTCTCAGGCCTCTCTTCCTTGCATAGCAGCAAACTCCACCCTACGGTTTCCAACGATGGGTTGCAATATCTCAGTCAGGATTAGTTTTATAATAATCACGGCTGCCATAAACATGCAATTAAAAAACAGATGCAGAAAGAAAAGTCAGATTAGAGACGCCTTCTAGCTCATGCAATATTATATTGATTTTGAATAAAGTATATTTTTGCATTTTATAACAGATACACTTCATCCTTTCTTTATCAAAGAGGATTCAGTGTGCTTCAACGAGGAATTTTATGGTCTGGAAACAGTTTTAAATACAAAATAACACATAATTGTAACACCACTTGGACATTTAAAACTTATATTCCTTCATTGATTATAAGTTATTATTTATTTTATTTACAAAAGTCAAAGAAAGATATGAGAATGTAATCACGTGGCAGGAAGCGTCTCTAACTTTGATTTTTTATTATTATTATAATGTAATATATTAAAAATTAATAATTTATCATGTGAAATTTAATCATATCACAAATTCAACACAACTTCCAACTTTAAAATCAATGTAATTTTTAATTAATTAAAAAATAAATAACATTTTAAATACTTAAGAGCTCGAATTAACAAAATAATTCAAATATTTTAAAAAAAAATCAAATTTAAAGTCTCAAATTTCAAATATTAAAATGACATCCACCACCTATAATTAAAAACAACACACACAAGTTTCTTCACTTTTTTAAAAAGAACTTGGTTGAATGAACATATTAAATTCTTCAACATAAAGAAAAGGTTTTTTTTTACATACACTTAACTCGACTTGACTACATCAAATAGATTTTATTAAATTAAAATCTTGATAATTTCATTAAATTAAAATCTTGATCGGTTCTTAATTAATAATTTAACCTAATAATCACATTACAGATCATAGATTCTTACAGCAAACTCATCTGGTCGAGCAGGATTTTACATCTAAGAGTATTATACTTAACAACTAAAGAGTAAGTAGATTCACGCATTGTCCTCTACCGAGGCTTATCATAAATTAGTCTACATATATAGCTTTAAGTATTTTTTTTTTTGATTTATGGGGGGTGTCCGGGTCAGCTTGCGCGCACCACGACTAATCCCCATGGCCCACTAAATACTCTGCAAACCCAGTAGATATGTAAGGCACCGCGAGGATAATAGGCGTACACGCCAGGGTTCGAACTCAGGTATAGTGGAAGGAAACAAGCCCATTCCACCACTAGACCAAGCTCTCGTTTGCATATAGCTCTAAGTATTATTAATAGCTGTGGGTGTCGAATCCCATCCACATGGTGTTTAAAAATTGGTGAGGTCTCTTGAAATGGGATTTCAAAGCACCAAACGAAGCTTCTTTCTAACTATTTTTCCACCAACACAAATTATATTTTAAGAAAGAACAACGCTTTAATTAAGATGTTAATCTTGAGCATGTCTTGCAGATGCTTTTAGAATAGTGACGAGGGAGAGTAGTTTCAAAACAAAGGAATGTAAGAAGTGGTTAATGATGTAAGCAATATATGCTTATTGTATTGGTTGGTCTTCCACGAGATCTTAGCAAATCTTCCTAAGAGCAAGCAAACCTTATATTATATGCCCCCAAATTAAGCATATGTTTTCAGGTGAATCAAGTCATTAATTAATGTCATTTTCTACTTAGTCAAGACATTTGTGTTGGACAGTTGTGCGAACCCACTTTTGTAGCTTTTGGGACATGTTTGAAACTGCTAGATTGTGTTGTTGTGTCCATTGTCTCTGCCCAGATCTTCCATTGGAGGACTTCTTCCACCAATCGATCTCCCATGCTCACAATCTCCACTCCCTTTTCCAGTCTGTTCAGATTACTTTCCTGCCTCGGGAGAAGAATTCCAAGTCGGCATGCTGTCATCAAGCATCTCAACATCTTACATGTAAATAAAATCAGGCCACTAGAAGGAAGATCGGCTCATGGTGGCTAGGTGGGTGGGCGGGTAGGTGGGTTGTGGGTGGGTTGATTGACTTTAGCTCTTTTATTTTTCATTTTATTTATCCACGAATTGATGCATGATTAGGGGTTTTTATTTTTATTTTTGAAAGTGTTATAGAGATTATTTTTTAAAATGTATTTTATTTGAAAATATATTATAATAATTTTTTAATTTTTAAAAATTTATTTTTAGCATCAACACTTTGTTTTTTTTATTCGAGAAAACCACACGTCTCGGAAAGCACGATTTTCGGATCTCGGAAAGCATGATTTTTGGATTTAGATGAACGAATAAAACCATGACTATCATTGGCTTTAGAAAATCTAAAAAATTAATATAAAAAATAAAAATTTTAAATTTTAATAAAAAATGAGTTGCACAACAAGCTACAAATAAGGTATGAACCCCGTTATTTTTACATTTTAAAAGTATTTTCAAAAAAGATAATTTTTTTTATCTTTTCTTCGTTTAATTTTTTTTTGTGTTTTTAAATTATTTTAATATATTAATGTTAAAAATAATTTTTTAAAAATATAAAAAAATTATTTTAATATAATTTTGAACAAATCACACTTTAAAAAATAACTTTTATGGTCCTCGGAATACTCCACTTCTAAAAAAGATTTTCCCTATACCAAAAAGTCACCGATTTCCAATCTAATTTTACTTCTTTTGTGAATGAAAAGATTTCATCCAAAGTTAATGAAACCACGAAAATGGAGAATAATCAAAGGGAACGCATTACACTTATAACTCTTCCTTTTCGCAGATCTTTTTCCTCTCCAAATCTTGACAAGATTCTGTAAGACATTCACAACATGTTTGATTAAATGTAGTTGATCATATATTATAATAATCTATTATATCTTTATATTTGATTATGTAATTTTTAAAATTATAATGCAATGGATGATTACAATTATACCATTTACATCATAAGCATTAATGAAATTAATCCCGCTGAATTGTTATTTGATATATATATCTATTCACTGACAAGACTGTTGCATGTTTTTATTTTTTATATTAAAATTATTAAAAAAAATATTGATTTAATATTTTTTTTAAAGCAAATACAATTTTAAAAAACATAAAAAAAAATCATAAGTTATCGTACCCTAAAACGGGTAAGAGCATGTTTGGCCCTCTATTTTTCTAGTTCCTGTTGCTTTGCTTTCAAGTTGTTTAATTTTTTAGAGTGAAAGATTGCTTATTTTATTTAAAATACAAAAATAACCTTAAACATTTCAAAATTAACCAGCCTCAATCTCTTTTGCTTTATGCATAATTAATTCTAAATAGTTTAAAACTAACTAAACTCGCTAATTTTATCTTAAGTGTATTAGCTCTCGGCAAGAATGTGTCCTAATTAAATTATTTAGTAGTTCTATTTACCAAAAAACACTATATGATATTAAATTAATATTTTTCAATGATTTTAATATACTAATATAAAAATATAAAAAATATTTTAATATATTTTTAAATAAAATATATTTTTAAAAAATACTTCATACCACTAAAACCTGATTGGTGTTTTTTCTATGAAAAGAAAACTTTAGGGTCATGCAATTGGACAATATATTAAAATAAATTTTATTTATTTATTTATTATAAAATAAATTTTATTTGAAAATATATTAAAATAATTTTTTTTTATTTTTTAAAATTTATTTTAACATTACCATATTAAAATAATTTGAAGGCATAAAAAAATTAATCTGAGATAAAAAATAAAAAAAATATTTTTTAAAAAAATATATCTTGTGTTTACTTGCTTAGTCAGATGTGGTATATTAAATTTATCTAAAAACTTCTTAGTAACAAGTAGGGATAAAGATGACAATTAATTAATATATTATATTTAAAAATATAATGAATTTAAAAATAATGAATAGGTAAATTATATAAAAAAAAATTAGTAACAATAATTAAAGAATAAAACCTAAAGTTAAACAATTAGTTATATAAAAAATTAAAATTAATGAAAATAAAAATCAAAAAAATCAAAAAATAAAGAGCTACATGCTTGATGTGGTATGTTTAGGTTTGAAAGGTCAAGCCAGCCACATGCTTGACCTGGTATGTTTAGGTTTGAAAGGTCAAGCCCCAGTGTCTAGTTTCATAATCTAAAAGTTGTTTATTTTTGTTTTTTAAAAATAATTAATATTTTTTTATGTGTTGATATAAAAAAAAAATTAAAAAAAAATATTATTTTAATATATTTTCAAGTAAAAAATACTTCAAAAAATAATTACAACTATACTTCTTATACTTCTTAGTTACACCCTCAAACAGACCCTAAATGAATAAACCTGATGACTCATCAACCTAAATCCAGCCTGACTTATAAACAAAAAGAATTCTAGTGTACCACATCACTCATAAACCAAACTATTAAACGTGAAATGCATTCATAAAATCACATGGAATGCATATATCATCTGGCAGAGATCTCTATATTTTATTTGTATATCTTGTGTTTACTTGCTTAGTCTAAATGAATCCAGCCTAGCTTAAGCTTCATGTCAAACCAAGTCAAAAATAACCAAGTTAAAACTCAATAAACCTAACAAGTCAACAATACAATAGTATCATGGATGCTACTCAATTTGAAATCAGGTAAAAATTAACCAAGTCAAACTTGATAAATCCAACACAACACAACACAATCATGAATGTAACTCGATTTGATTTTATTTTTTTATTTAGAAAACATCATTTTAATTTTTTTTAAAAAAATCTTAAAATAATATTATTTTAAATTAATTTGAGTTAATTTAAATTAACTCACCTAACTCAATGGGAAGCCTATTTTTATAACTACGGTTAAGGTGACTCCTATATATGGCAACCTTGAGGGTCCTGCTTGAATCCCTAGTCAAATCATAAACCAGGAAGAATCCATGGCATGGAATATAAAAAGAATCGAATTCAACTACTATCCACTCTTTTA